TGTTGATAACGACGTTCTTTTATATATGTTATACAAAAAATAAAATGAAAAATTATTCGACATACTTATATGACATGAGGGATTTTATTCCCATATTTGAATTTTTTCTTTTTTGTATTTTGGAATAAAATTTGTAACATAATATGCATATTGCAATTTTTTTTGTGTAGAATTTATAAATTTTGTTTACGGATTTTCGTTTTTAATGCATATAATTCGATAACACTGCTGTGACACTGTAATAAAATAATATTATTTAAAAAATAGTAGTTTTTTATTGAAAAAAATTTAATAAGATTATATTATGCAGATGTGTTTATGCAGATGTGCACATTATGTACATATTCTTACAGATTCTGAAAGTCCATTTATATTCAACGATTTAAATATATGATATGTTGGGAATTTATGCTCGTTCCACAAACTTTATCAAAGATTCCCTTCAGAAACATGATAAATATTTAATATATATATATATATATATATATATATAATTTTAAATAGTGGAATTTATTCTGAGAACTAATCACTAAGTGATAGTGAAATTTATAGTTTTGTTAAGCATATTGGTTTATTTTTAAAGCAAACAAAGAATAAGCGTAACAAAGAATTTTTGTCTTTAGTATAGTTTTCAGAATTTTTATGATAAATTTTCAATATTATTTAATATTCGTTTCGTAAAATTTGTTCCAATGCTTTATAATTTATTTGTTAAATGTCCTGTTTGTTTAGTTTAAGTTTCAAACTAAGAACATTTACTATTTAGAGTAAGCTTGGTGTGCTTTTTCTTTAAAATCAAGGTATTTCAACTTCTTTATAATTTGTAGATTTTGTAGACTTTTAAAACCCGGATAACATAGTGCACCTCTATAAGTGGGAGGCATGATCCTGCAGCACCCGCTGAAGATCCACGGTTTTGAAGTATTCACCTCGGTGAGAGCAAATCCCATAGTATTTCTAATTTCCTTCTCCTGCGAGCGACTGAAACACACTCTCCGAGAAGTTATACTGGGGTCTCTCTAACATCCCTACAGCGCATGTAAATATCTTCATTATCGAGGCCTAGCTTGCTGAGGTAATCCTTACCTAAGTCAACTTCTTTATAAACGCAAAACTCAATTATATTTTGCAATAATCTACAAGTATATTATACTTAGTACTATAAGGGGAAAAAATATTCAATACATTAAAACTGAAAATTAGACCAGATGTGATGACGAATAAGAGATGTTTTGCAATAATTAACTTTAAACTTTTTAAATTTCGTTTCGAATGATCATTTCATGTTAAGTACCGGCTTTCTAATTATTGAATAAGGAAATAACATTGCTCGTTTAAGTGAAATGCTTATACAACACTTGTTGTTTTATACTCATTAAATTTGCTACTTAAAACTTACATACTTACTTTTATTAAGAAATTACAATTTTTTTCTGATCACAACATTTATAAAATCTACGATATAGAATTTAGAAATTTTGAAAAACTACAGTACTAAAATGACTTTATTATGCAATAACTACAACTACAAGTATACTGTAATGCAAATTAAATTGAATTAAATTTTCTTTAAATTTAAATTAAAGAAATATTAAAGAAAATTTATTTTAAATGTATTTTTAAGTATATGCATAGAGAAGTAAAGAAAATTCCATTAATTTTCAATGGGTTTCTTTTGAATAATCATGAGAAATTTTATAATATTCGCGTTTATTATTTTTATATAGCAAGCTGTTGTTTATATGTACATACGTATAAAAAAATGTTCAACAAATTATTTTACATTTAACATAAATCAAGAAAATAAATATGATGTGATCAACACATAACCGACCACAATATTTATTAAATAGTTTAGTCAAAGTGTTAGAAAAGATTATGAAAATGCGTTTTAAATACTTCTTTACAATTTCAAGACACTGGTAAGTTTTAAGTTAATATCTAGAAATATGTGAATTTGGCTCTTAGTAGAGTTTTGTTTTGTGTCATCAAAGAATTTTATGAAAAGTTCGCCTGTTATTCTCGGTTACAAAACAACATCGCTCTAAAAATAGTTTATTTACACTTCACTACTCTAAAGAAGTGTGTTCTCACACAAAACTTGACATCCAAAATTTGTGCCATCACATATCCATCCTTATTGTATGCAATACGGTCGGTAAAAAGGAGCCTTTCAAATTTTTTGTGTTTTCTTTTTCTTATGTAAAAAGCAAAAAAAAAAAACTCAATGCTTAAAATCTATAAATAAAGAATTTCAGTTGTATCATTGAAAATATCCTTGGAAATTCAACGACTAAAATAATTTTTGCATACTTATTTATAGTTTTTAATTCACAAATATTTTGGGTATATATAGAGAAATGGTATATTTTAAGGCTTCGACCTTAAACTTAAACTTTTTTCTTTATTTTTCTGTACATTTTCTGTATTTTGTGTACTTATTATGTTGCACAAGTTTTGTGATTTTGTTTATTTTTTCTCATTTTACTAAAATGTCATCTGAAAAAGGACATCTTATTTGAATTATTTTTTGTTTTCGTTATTTTATTTTTGTTTATATTTTTTCTTTTTTCATAAAAATTTTAATATTTGCAAACAAAAAATGCATAACAATTTTTTATTTTTGTATTTGTTTTTTTTTCGTTTCTATTCAGAAAGTTTAAGGAATTTTAAGGAAATAAAATATTTTTGGTTAAGGAAGAGTTTTTTGGTGTTAAAAGGTTTTTAATAATAAAATATCAGTATACCAGTAGTAATAGAATAGAGAGTATAAGAGAAAAGTTCATTGAATATTTTGCAAAATAAAAAGGAAGAGAAAGAGAAAGAAAGAAGAGAGAATTTTGTCTTATTTATTTTTTAGTTAAGGTCCTTTTTTTTCTCAATTTTTATATTATGAAAAGAAATGCTTATGACAGGATGTTGAACCTGTTTTTTTTTTTGCAAATTTTCTTGTTTCAGTGTCTTTTGTGTTCTTTTTTTTGTTTTTATAGGAATTTATTTTTATTTTTTGTTTTTCCTTTTTTTATTTTTTTTTAATGCTTTTTAAAGAAATATTTTTATGATTTGGCGAGTAGTAAAAAATTTTTATATAGAAGTACAGCAGGAATTCTTTTTGGTAAAATTTTAATTTAATTAAAAAATAACTAGTTTACTTTTAAAGTTTTGAGAATTTTTATAGTAATTTTTAATAAGAAAATGAATAAAACTCAAATTTTACTATTTAATTTTCCTTAAAACTTTCTTATGAGCGTGATTATAAGCATTGAGTTAATGATTGGGATTATTGACGATGCATGTACCCCCTAAGAAATTCATTATTTGACGATGTACTTGTTACAAAAATAATGTCCGAAATTCATAATTTTAAGTGCTTTGAATAGAAACTGAACATAAAGGATCGTAATTAAAATATTTTGTTAATTAATAATTTAAAAAAATTATTTTATACTTGCATAATTCAACATTTTATTTTTTTTTTGTTTATTTTATAATTTAGTATGTGATTTTGAAAATTTTAGCGGTTTAAATAATTTCTGTTTTATGGTTAAAAAAGCTGATAAAAATGTCTTGAACACTCTTATATATTCTTGTCAGCTCTCCTTGTCTTACAACTATGATAATGAGAGCATATTTCTGTTCAATTATATGGAAAACCCTAATAAACATAGAAATATAGAAATATGTATCTAGATAAGAAATTGGTGTGTTTTTCAAACTTCGCTCATTTATCCTTAAACCAATCTATAAAATATTTAAGAATTGAAAATGTGTGAGAAAGATGTTTACTTGCCTGAATAATTACTTGACACTTATAAAGTGAATTATTTCAAATGGAAATTTTTGTAACATTAAACTCAGTGAAAAGTAAATGATAGCAAAAAACGTTTAAAAATTTAATTAAAAGTAACCAGATAAAAACTATACCTTAATTGAACTTTATCAACAATTCTTGTAACAATTTTTACTACATTGACTTTTTACTTTTATACCAGAAAATTAATTTTCTCTTTCATTTCCTTTGATTATCCTTAGTTCATACATCTATACATGTGCAATTTTGTGGTTTAAATTTATTTTTAAATGAATTAATTTTTCCTTTTAACTTGCTATATTTGCATTCGATTTGAATTGAACTGCAATTTAAAAAGTGCAATGGAACTAAATTTTTTTTTTAATGTTTTGAAAAGTAAGTCATTAAAAATTGAAATAGAATTTAAGAACAGAGTCGGATTGCAAAGAAAATCAAAGTTGTAAATTAAATTTTGTTTACAACTTTTACAATTTCGTGGTTCACTCAACGTGGTTTCCAAAAAGATCGCCGTCCTCCCGCTTTCAAAGCAATGTACAAAATAAACATTGCACATTGTAGATAATAATTGCACCTCTGAGTGTTAAATTCAATTGTTTCTGATTTTCATGGTGCAATTGTCTCGATTCAGCTTTATTCAAATTAGTTTCAGGAAATTTATTTTGAACTGATAATTTTCTCCATTTTGATTATGAACTAGTTTTTTGATTTCAATGTTATTTTCTTGAACGTTTCTTAACAGAACTAAATAAATGACTTTTTACGAAATTTATTTTTCGACCGACTCTCGGAGAATTAGCTAATGCACAAGACAAATTGAAAATTTTTTAAGGCATATTTACGTGCAGAATACAAAGCATTTAATTATGTGTCAAATATTTGCTTCTTTCTTTTTTTATATTTAGAAATTTGACTTTTTTTATAGTCATAATCCTTAGTCCCTACCCTTATAAAGTTAATATTGACCTAATGCAACCCTACCATTCCGTTGAACAATTTATATATTACTTTATATACGTATACTTTAAATGGTGATAACATAAAGGATCATTTTGTAATAAATTTCAAGGATGCTTTTACTTTTATTTTCTTTTCCATTTTAAGTCAACGAGTCAAAAATATTTTATCAATTTTATATTTAATTTTAGTTTTTTTTTCTCTTATTGATTTTTTTTTTTATATTTTATTGCAGAATATACAAAAATGTCTTCTCAATTGCATACTGTACGTTTATGTCGTGGTGATGCAACACCATGGGGTTTCCGCTTACAAGGTGGTGCTGATTTTGGAACACCATTAACGGTGCAAAAGGTAAAATTTTTATAAGTATAAAAAATTTGTGTGTGAGTAAATATTTATTTTAATTTTATATTGGGTAGAATTTCTTATTCTAAGTAATTCATTCGCCCATCTGTAGTCAAACGTGTGAATGTATGAAGTGTTAAAGTATTAAATGTACAAGAGTCTGAAATTTTGTAAATTTAAATATCAATTTCACACCAATATTATTGATTATAGCAATTAATTGTTTTTAAAGCTATTATGCAAATAAAAATTGAAAATATACATACGAAATATATTTATTTTTAGGATATAATTGTAAAATTTATATTTACATATTATGCATTGGAGGCAACATGAGGATGAGAGTAATATTTAAGAGAACCCTTATTATACAGAACAATATTATAATAGTTCGATTGAAAATTAGTTGAGCAAACACTTGTCAAATAATATGACAAAATTTGCTCAATTAACCATTGAGATCGTGTGTAATCAAGATAATGCGACTGAGTAAAATTCCTTATCTGCAAGAGGATTGTTCGGATAATATACTAACCACGAAGAAGAATAAACTTGATTACGGGTTAAACTGTGACTTAATTAATGATTTTCTAGTTACAGAACTAGCATTGAAAGTCAAACATTTTAATTCGAACTTCACTGTAAAAAAAAGACAGAGAGAGATTTTTTGTTTATAATAAAAAATTTTATTTCACTTCAAAATGCAATTTTACTAAGACAAAAAAACAAAACAAAATAAAAATTCTTTTATTTTCTTTTTGGGTTCGAAATTTTATTCATTCGCCTTTTATTTTTTGTCGATGATGCACTTTTAATTTAATGATGCATCAAATACATCATCAAAATTATGTAAATAGTAGAGCTCATACAACTTGAAACGATTGATTCTGGTTGTTTTTTTAATTTAATTTTGGCTAATATTTAAAGTAAAAATACCAAAAAGAATCCGTAAAAGAACGAAAAACAAAAATTAAATTTTAGCAATAATGGCGTGTAGTCCTTGAAATTCAAATTTATTTATACAGTAGTACTGAATGCAGATAATATCCTTTGAAAAACAAATTAATAATAAGTAGAAGTGCATATTAATAGGCTTGAAGTACAAAAAAAAAAAAAATAATTATTGAATGAAAAATAAAATTTAGGGGAATCAAATGAAATGGGGGTGTTAATGTAAAAATTAATGGCAGAAAACGAAATTCGTTTCTATAATAAAATTAATTTTGCATAACAAAATTGTGGTTTTTTTGGAAAAAAAATTATTAATCCTCTATTGAATTTGATTTTTGAAGAAAATCATAGTGTGAAATATACAAAGTACAAGTATACTAAAAAATTATTTGATTTGATAACATTTTTGGCCCCTTAGGGCCTCTAATCGAAATTCAAATTATGGCATGAAAATTAAAAAAAAAATAAAATTTTTGCAATTTACATAAATTATATGAAAAATTTAGCCATAACCTTAAGTTATTGAATTTTATTTTCATACTTAGTTGAACAAATTATTAAGCAAATAAAAACTCTTATAATTATTGTTTGCTTTATTCTGAGGTCAATACTTCCATAACGCAAACACTAGTATCAGCTAGTCTAAGTTAAATTTCGAAGAGCATGAAATCTACATTAATTGCAAACATGAAAGTGCGAACATATATTTTGTTACGTACATACATTTATGTACATATGTAATTTTGGACTTGAACTTGAATTCACTTCGCGATTAATAGGAACACGAACAGTGGTTCCATATAGTTTTGTGAATGATTATTTCCATACGCATGTGTAAAAAGTTCCGCTGTCCTTGCATTCTACTTTTCGAAATGCTCATAAATGAATAATTTATTCGTGCCGCTATGAGATTGAGGTTTATCATTTATTTTCTATTTTCTATTTGATTTTTTGCTTATTGATATTCCCGTCCTACTGTAGGTATTATGTGTAGTTACATTGAAACATGTTGTTTTAAAATTTTTTAACAAATAAAGAAGCTCATCATCATCTTTTCATATTTTAATAGCACATAATATTACGATCGCTTTTATATTTACATATAAACATTCATAGATACCCAAATTAATTTTTATATTTTTATATCTACTAACATATAGAATTTTCCAATATCTTTTTCCAATTAATTTACATGTAAATTTTATTTTACACTTCTGACAATTTTTCTATTTATTATAGTTGACTAAAAAATAAAAAAAAAATGAATTTCAATGAGTACTGCGGTGGTTTATTATTTACGTTCTGTAGGTTTTTTTTACAATTGTAGATATACAAGTAATTAAATATAAATGCTATATATTTATTTTATGACAAGATAACTTAAAATTGAGAACAGTAACTGTATGTAATGTGTACTTATATTTATACATTCATATTATATAAGGATTTAAATCTCTTCACAAATCCACTGATGATGGCGACTTAATTTGCATAAAAAGTGCATAAAGGCGCTTATGTACCTACATATTATATCCTTTAAAAAAAAAAACAAATATGTATAGTTACATTCATATGTATGTATATACATGTAGATACACATATCGTCTGGTTTATACTTGATATAAATTTTTTGAATTACAATATTGTTGAAAATGATGAGGTTGCATGATTTTGAAGTTGAAAACATTATATTATAAGCTAAAATAAATTTAAAATTAAATATTGTTGGTTATACATGTGTACGTACGTATGCTACCTCTGCGGGTGTATATTATTGGCTGAATAAATTAAATGGAATTCCAAATTAAAATATTTTAAGTTGAAAATTGAAATTGTTGAAAAATTTAAATTGAAATATACGAAGTATGCAATTTATTATAACCAAAATTTGTCTAATAATTGAAGTTGAATAATTTAAATACAAAAAATATGTACACCAGTATTAAAACCTTGAATTAACGTATCTACAAGTTACACTATAGTGTATGGTTTTAATTTTATTTCCCAACTTATATGAAATATTTGCTGAAACTAATAACGATTGATTTTAATATTTTAAATGAAAAACCAATGTATAGAAGCTTGTCAGGTCGAAAATTCAGCTGAACTGAACAAAACTATACTTAAGACAGTTTTGATTTCTAAATGACAATTTTTTCAGGCTCTAAAACATATCTGTACAATAGACAATAAGAGTATCGTTTTCCAAATTTATCATAAATTGACTTAATTCGTTTTGGTTTGAAGTTCCACATTATATGTACGTTCAATTTTACAAGTTTTAGTTTTTAAATAAATGACTGAATTCCATTTATTGTACTTTATGAAATCATGTTAAATTCCTAATACGTTTACATATATAAATGTTAAAATAAAAATCTAGTCATTTTATTCTTATATTTTAAAACGGTTTTTCATATACGCAGTTTAATAAAATGATTATGTCATGAATGCCAGATTTATTGTAAATTATATTGGTTACGCTTTGCAGAAACTATAATTTTTTCAATTTTAATGCAGATTAGTTTTTGTGCACAACAAGTATTTTTAATTAAAACGAGAATTACAAGATTAAGAACAACTTTTTCTCAAATTTGTTCAGAATCCATTACAGACATTTGTATAATTTATTTAAATAAATAACTATGTGGGAACATTGAATAACAGTTTACATAACAGTTGAAATGTAATATTTCTTTTCACAAAATCTGCAATTTTTTTTTTCTTTCTTATTATTTTATCGAAAATTATTTCGCTGATTCAAATTTCAAATAAATATTCATCTAATTTAACTTTGACGGAACGAAATACCAAAAAATTATTTTTTTTTTATCAAAATAAATAATAATTTTTTTCATTTCTCATATTTCTGTTGATTATTGATGGATCGTCTTATTTCTTTTTTTAGCACATTTTGGAAAATTTTGCAAAATGTACTTATTCATTTCAGTTTGTCTGCATATAAATTAGAACTGAAATAAACAAATAAAAAAAATTATTTTGCCAGAATCAAATCTTACACATCTTTTCCGCTCGGCGAAAATTTGAAAAGTTGACAGCTTACGTATATTTCCTCAATTTTTAATAATCAGTCGCATATTTTGAACAGGGCTTTCTTCAAGTTAATCACAATTTTAACTTTTTATTTCTTAATTGTTGGAGTCACTTCTTTCTTACGTTACAATAGAAAAGTCTTAAAATTTAATAATTTTTAGATATCCTTTTAAAATGTTATTTCATTGGAATAAAGAATAAGACGTTCTAATAAGCCTCAGTTCTAAAATAATTCTCACGTCTAAAAAATCCTTTTGAAATTTTTTTAAAATATTTTTTTTTTGCCCTCTCCTGAATTTTACATTTTTATTTTTTGGTTAGATGACGTTAAATATTAAGACGAAAAATACAAAAATATAAAATTGAATAATTTTTTTCTCCTGCCGATTGATGTTTGTACATTCGAATAGCTGCACTATTATTCTTTAAGGGTGTGCTAAATTTGTTTCATCGTTGATGATGTGGTCATCTTTCGCAATCTGCAGGTCATTTTATATAGATAACCATTATGTATATAGAATGTTATTGACCATAAATATTTACAAATTAGGTATCAAAATTGAAGATAGGCATTTAATTATTTAAAAATTTTCATAAAATCCTTATCATACATGTGCGCGTTTGAATATAAACCTATGAAATAAAAATGATGCAATCAAACAGTTGCAAACTAAAAATTGAAATGAAAATAAAAATAGTCTTTGAAATTCGTTTACTTTAAACTTACATCAGGTTATGATTTCGGTTGATACTTGGAAAATTCGTCCTCCTATACCATTTTCTGATTCTTTTCATTTCCACTATTTTGTTCCTATATACATACATATGTAAATATATATGTGTAATGTGTATGTATGTATATTTAAAATATATTTTTAAATAAATGAATATATTATTTTTGAAAAATTACAAAAAAAAAAAAACAAATTTTTTTGTTACTGTCATAGTTATATAAAAAGTTGCTGAAGGCGACCGCTTCATTAATTTCTCGCCATTTAAATAAATAAATTTATCCAATCAAGTGT